AGCACACTCGGCGCCCCAAATATTGTGAAAATATCCAAAAGTACATGCGATACTTCTTCTGCTCTTTTACTTGTAAGAGGTCGAAGTTGGACAAATTTGGTAAGATGGTCTTGATAAACAAGCACAAATTTATAACAGCCATCGGCTTGTGACTGCATATCGATTAAATCGACTTGGCATCTTGAATTCATTTCCTTGCTCAATATTGGTTTCACCACCAAGCCTTTCTTTGGAACATTATGTTTTTTCTGACAGGTCATGCATAAATTTAAATAGATAACAATCATCTCCCTTGTAATATTTTTAAATTTAGAATGTACTTCCTTCTCCATTCGGTTTCTACCACCATGCCCGATAGTAATATGAAGATCGCGCAATGTATCAAATATTTCTTCTGTATGGACGTAGTATTTAATTACGTTATCTTCTTTCACAGGAACAATCAATTTTTCTACTTCTCTAATCGTCATAACGTCGAATCTTCGTAAGCGCTGATAATCACTCGGCGTTTTATTTGTCTGTTTACTTTTAGAGTTTTTTACCTTCTGTATCATTTCCATGTAGGCTGTTTTTGTGAAAATTTGTGAATTTTGACTTTTTGCTGAAATTAATTCAGTTAACCGATTGTTAAATCGATTTTTCATATCACTTAATGGTTCTTCTTTTTCCATAGTTCACTATGCAATACTTTATAAACAAAGAATTAACAAAGAAATGTCACAAACAAACCACTTGTCGTATATACCATTACTAACATTCAACTGCAATATGATTTATAAATAATGGCCGACGCGCTTCGGTGACTGTAACCTTGGATACAGCGCGTTGATTCGCTGCTGAAGATCGCATGATTTACTAAGAACGCCGATTTATCACATTGCCCGGCCATAGTATAGCATTTTTCATAATGACCAGACAATATGATAAATTGTAAAAAGTTATCAAATTGCCCGCTGAAGTTAGTCATTATTAATAATGACCGGGCATTATACATAATGGCTAACATAATCACTTTGTCCATAACATATATAAATGATGAATTGTTTGCAAAAATGTGAGTCTGTTTTCAAAGGGTAAAAGAAAAAAAGACTTACTCATAATTCATAACAGTTCATCGGTAGTGTTGTTTTATTGAATTCTCAGTTTTTTATAAAAAATCAACAGTTTAATATTTTTTAAATTAATGAAAATAAAATACTATTGCTTCGTGACCTGCCCAGAACCATTTCATTTTTGTAATTTCTTCCACAATATCCCTGATTTCGTTCTGCGTCTTATCTCGGTGTTTCTAATCTTGTCTCTCAGTGATATTCCAAGCATGATTCGTTCCATTGCTCTTTGCGTTGTTTTTAATTTTTTAGGAGATTTTTTGGTAAGGGCTACTGTCTCCAAGCCGTAGGTACAAACTGGTAGTATGTGTTATACACCTTTTGCTTTAAGTTTACAGGAATAGAGGTGTTTTTCAAGATATATGCTAGTTTGCCGAAAGCGCTTCATGCCAGTTGTGTTCTTCTTTTTTTCTTCTTAATAATTACATTAATTAAAAATACAAAATGAATTTATTTACATTTTTAAAACAAGTTAAGAAACAAATAAAATGAACAGGACATAAAGAAAACCAAAGGTAGTTTTGTTGAGATTTACAGCAAATTTAGGAAATAAAATCTACCTGTTTCTATACAACGTTTCTGTCGGCCAATCAAATGTCTAATTGATCTCCTGGGAGTTAAGTGATCATTTCCAATAATCTTAAAAGAATAAATAACTTCGACAATATTAGTTCTTTTCATGTATTTATATTTTGTCCGTTAACAACTCTTTTAATTAATCCCATAAGGAATAGTCACCAAGGTTAAAATCAGGTGATTTAGGTGGCCATGCATGCCTTAATCACATATTTCCATAAAATGTACGAAGATGTTGATGAGCAACAACTAAGAAATGTGGTGATGCCCCATCAAGCATAAAGTGCATACCTCAGGCGGCTATATTGGCTATCATATTCGGCAAATTATTTAAAAAAAAATCTAAGTACACAGCACCTCTCAACAATGCATTAAATAAATTGGGATCTATTACTAATTGAACGACTTTCTGCAGAAAGGGACCAACCCACAAATGGCACAAGCATTTAAATTTATTTGACCAAAGTTCGTAAGTGGGTTAATACATTAGAATTATGTTTCTTTAAAATGTTAGTGTTAAAATAATAGTGCAGCTATGCACATATATGTATAAAAGTGGGTTGGTTACTTTCTGCATTTTAAGAAATGAACTCTTTAGAAAAGTTTTATTGAAATTATTACATTTAATACAATATTAATATATAAAAAATATAATTGTAACACAAAAAACATATATTCCCAAAACTGCTAATGTGTTATGGTTTTATCTTTAAGGTAACCAAGTTCATCAGGACGGCCGCTAAATCCCTCAACATCATCAATAATTTCAGAGTATCTAGTTAAACCTTTATATTCTTGAGCATCACCTGGTATTAAATGCATTACAGATTTTATGTCCTCTAATTTTGGAAGAGAAATAGGCTTCCCGTTGGGCCAGTTTTTTGGGAGTAAATGGCTGAAATTATTATTGGTTACTGCTGGCCTTCCATGTTTTTTACCGATGTAAACTTCAGAATAATTTTCATCTGCAAAACTTGTTTTCATAAATATATAAAATGGTTTTGATTTATCTAGCACTATCTCCCTTGTTTTTAAACAATTAATTTTTTGTTTGCTCATGTCAACTTTTTATTACAGATTTGTTTTTCTACTTCTGCTGTACCAAAAAAATCAGAAGAAGTAATTCTAACGACCAAATTTGTTTACAATTATGCAATCTTCGGGCAGGTATAACCTTGTTGATGTTTGAGCGTAGACTCATGTCTAAAAAATTGGCATCGTTAGGTAAGAAACTATGCCCTGATATGAGAAACCGGATATAAATCTTAATAAGTGACGCATAAGTTTTAAGTGCAGCTTTCATCATAAGAGTTAATTATATATTCCCGTTTTTACCCCCATATGAATCAGACCATAAAATTAGTTTATCTACATCGTTAGATACATGATTTTTGATATATTTTAAAAGACATGATCCTACCTCTTGGGAACCACGACCAGCTTCATTTTCCATCCATACATTGCACGATCCCCTTTTTGCTCTTTCCAGAGTAAATTCGTAAGTTGTACAGCCAAATTTGCCTTTTATAAAATAAAATTTCAGTTGGTAGGGGTGGAAGGGGCAAATTTTTTTCCAAATCGAATGTTACAACATTCTACTTTTTTATTGTTAGTCGCAGTATCCAAATCTTGTTTCATTTTTGCCTTGGCTTCTTGCCAATTTTTGATATGGGTATCATGTTCATTTACCAACATTACTTTTACCTCATTATCTTGATTGCTATCTCTTTTTGCCTAATAAGAATCGCAGGTGTTACAGGTGTCTTTTTTGAGATTCTTCGATTTTAAATTAAACTCGGTCATGAAAATACGTCTGTACATGACAAAGCTAACAGAATTATTAGTATCTTCTTTGTATTTTTTATACATTAGTTTTAGTGTTATTTCCGGGGGCAAAAATTGTGCATCACCACACTGCAATCTGCGATAATAGGTCACATTTATTTTGGAATCCTACCAATTTAATTAACTATTTCTTGTTTCCGTTCTTGTGATATTTTATTGTTTCCACCCTGTTTTTGTCCTCTTTTGTCTGTCAATGTAGAGGATCAAGTTTTTTCATTGCAGTGTCAACACGCTTAGTAAAAATTCCGAAAGTATTATTAAATAAGTTGCGACATACCTGTATTTTATTTAATCAAATTGCGATCAAATTAACTTCATTTTCTGCTTTTGAAACACTTCTGGAGGATCTATAGCTCATTGTTTAAGAAATGTTTTACTACCTAATAATTGTTTATAATTAATAATTTGCAATATTTTCACTACTTTATAACACAAACATGCAGTCTTAGCCTTATCGCATGACAAACAAAAGTATTAGTCATTAAAGAAAGGAAACAATTCCTGAAATATTTTATGCCCTGTGATTCACAAGTTTTGCAGAATGGAACCAACCCACTTAGATCTTTTCTGCAGATTACTTGATTGAGTACTGAAGTAATGTAAGTTGGTTCACTACCTAATAGATGGCAGCATGCACTTGCTGTGGCCTAGTTCTATTCTGCATATAATTTTTAACCGCTATTCAAAGTGGTACCATGAATAAAGCGAAAAAATGTATTTTGTGGGTTGGTTCTTTTCTGCAGAAAGTCGTCAAATTGTCTGTCTATTACTCCTATCCAAACATTCACTGAAAATCTATACTGTGAACGAGATTCGAGAATCGCATGAAGATTTTCGTTTGCTCAAATGTGTGAGTTGCATGAGTTATCTATTGTAATGTTTTATGTGTATTGTTTTACCAAAACATTGGATACATCAAAGTTTTCATTTAAAAGTTATGACGAATATAAAGTTCAGTCAAAACTCAAAACTCGCCCTGTACCTGTATATTAGTAAATAATGGGAGCAGACCCTTTTTAGTGGCCATTTGCTACTTTGCATATAACGTAGAAGTATGTTCAATTTTTCATGACTCACCTGTACCTATTTCTGTCTATATTTCTTTATTTTTGTTGTTCCTTTTGGTATTCCAAAAAAATTATAAAATATTTTACATTTAGTCATTTTCATGTTTTTGTATTTTTAGAATATTTTATACTTTTATAACTCAAGGACAACTAAATATATTACTCAACCGCAATCATTGCGGAAATTCATTTGGATTTTCCAGTTCTTTCTAGAACAGATAAAAAATTTGGGACAAATGTTGATTCGAGGAAAACAATACAAATATACTTTTTAATTTATTATGGTACAAATATGTAAGAACATGTAAAAATATAATACTAACTTATAATCTAAAATAAATAAATACAAACTAAAAACTAATGTAATATTAAAATCGAATGACGATGCAGGTCTCTAAATTATATTTTTAAGTAACTTTTCAAAATGTAGCAACTTGATTTACTTTCAAATTACGTCAAGGTAAACAATAATTCTTATTTACAATTAGTGGGGAAAAATAAACTTTAAAGAGAAGAAGGAAATTGCTGGAAAAATGTCATGCATGACAAATATCCAGTTCTGAGGGAAGGTGAATAATTTTTAAGAATATTAAAGAAGAAGAAAATCTAAAAAGACTAAGAGGAGAAAAAATGTGACGTTTCTTTATAATATTAATTAAAATCTGATGTAGCTGACAAATTACATAAAAACCTAAATATTACCAGATCAGGTAAGTGGGAACGATTTTTTATACCTGGTAAATAGATAAAGACAATAGATAGAGAAGCCTGATCATAAAATTAATTACAAATAGACAGCAAACTGGAAAAAAATTGGATTATTCAAACATAAAATTTAGATATTTGACGTGGTAAATAAGTCTGCAGAATACATAACAAACCATTGACACTGATATTTATCGACTACGAGCAACATTCAATACCATAAGGCATCAGAAAATGTTAAGAGCATTGAAACGCAAGAAACAAATAATAAATTCTGTATACAGCGAGGAGTACACAATCTCTCCAAAGCTATTCACGATGCTTTTACAATATACTTGTAAGAAGGGACATCTGAAACAACATGGTATTAAAAATGTAAATGGAAAGAAGCTCAGTCGTTTGAGATTTGCAGATGATACCGTCTTAACAAGACGCAAAAAATGACTAATTTGGTGCTAAATCGTAATATTGCTGTTGATCGAAGCAATATTGTGCAGATTACATCGTATAAGTACCTAGGGCATGGAATTCGGTTGGGCAGAGATAACCAGACATGTGAGCTCCTACGTCGCATAGGATTAGCCTGGGCAGCATTTAGTAAATCAAACTATGTTAATAAGTTATCGAAAAAATCGGGTCGGTAAAATGAAATTGGACAGAACAAGTTTCCAGATTATTAGACAACCGATGGATAAAACGTATTTTTTAGTGAAAAGCAAGGCAAGAAGCAATACTTAGCAGAAGACACTGACCAACTAGATGGACTGACGACCTGAAGCGGGTTAGCACTAACTGGATACAAGCTTCATAAGACAGAGACAGATGAAAAGAGCTGAGAGAGACTTATGTCCAGCAGTGGGCGCATACAAGTTGATGATGGGAAAGAACGCATTAACAGTCCCATGAAATTTGTAACTATTTATCCGAACAAGAGGAAATGCATGTAAACTTATTTCTGATGACTCGAAAGTATTTTTAGTTTCTGTTCATTCTGAATATTATAATTTTATCTTTTTATTTCTTTATTATGAGGATACATATCAAATAAAAATAAAAAGAGAAACATGCATCGGTTTCAATTTTGTATTTAGTATACAAACGTATATTCTCTCTTACAAATAGGGCATATTGTCGAATTATTTAAGCATTGTCGCAAGCATGTTGCATGAAACATATGGTGACAAGGTGTAATTCTTGCTCTGTCCATAGGACTAAGGCAAACAGCGCATACATCATCACAATTCTTAATTTCGTCGTCAGTAGCATGTCTGAACTGACCTAAAACTGCTTGTTCGTGCTTTAGCTGTTTAAGACAGTTTATAACCATATCTTTAAATCTTAAAAATACTGTAAGATAAAATGCTAATAGCGTAAATCGTAACTGACCGTGGAAGCTTAAAAATATGCATATAATAGCAGCTAAACCAATAGTATAGCATCTCAAAATTACAGGAGCATACAAGGGCTCTAATGCTTCTAGTGATTTAAGTTTCAACCACAATAGCAAAGGCAGGAAAAGATCTACAAACACTTTTTCTGTACACATGTAATACGTCCATGTTACAAACGTATACAGCGCAGTAGGTTGGTAGTGTTCTAATCCTTGTTCCAGTCCAAATACCAGCAACATAAATGTAACGGTTATGACAAATGTCACAGCTTTCGTCCATTCCAAAACAATCTTCGTAGCTGACATTGCTACATGCTTGATATTACTGTGTTGTGTCATCCTTACTGTTACTGACCAGTCTTCTTTTTCAATCAGTTCCTTGATATAACTCGTACAATATGCTATTACGTTGTAAAACATAAGGGAATAAAGGCCGGTGATCTTTTTTTGTGGACAATGGGTACCTCCGAAGTTACAAAGTAGAACTCTGTCACACATCATGAAGAAAATCAACTGAAACAAAATACATTATTACTGCATAAATAATAAAGAGTAAATTATAAAAAAATATATTTAAATGTACTTTTTCCTCATGTCTTATTTTACTAAATGCATTATACCTTTATCCCTTAATTTTTGTTGATTTTATGTTTTACTTTGGCTTTGCTTCATTTATGTCATGCTTTGTCTATTATAAAGATCATTCTCATTAACAGTTACTTTCTATATTAGTATCAAATTGTCATTTTCCTGACTGGTGTACTGCTTTTATCTTTTGAAGGTTCCTAATTTACTTATATTCTAGTCTAACTATTATATCCCTAACAGTTTGCGTTTAATTTTATGGCAAATTTTTTTGGGTGGTATGGTTACTTATATCAAGGCTACTTTAATCAAGTAAAAATTTTGTATTTATTATACTTATATTATAATAAATATTACGTTCAATTTCGGTGGACAATGTTCTTACTATTTTTCATCATGCCACCATCATCCAGCTTCAAAAGTTTATCCTGCTCAAAGGTGTCCAAATGTATTCTGCTCATCTCCATTTTAGTTTAGCTTTATCTTTTTCATGGCGTCAGTCAACTTGGTTCTTTTCCTGATCCCTTCGTTTTTTATTTTGTCTTGTAGAGTTATTTTTAAAATAAATCGCTTCATTCTTTTCTATGTGGCTCTCAGTTGTGACTCTCTAGTCAAGGCTTTTGTTAAGGTAAGTGTTTCTGCTTCATATGTCAACGCTGAAGGACGCATTGATAAAATACTCTTTTTTAGGCATGTGGGTAGCTTACTTTTAAAAGTGTCTCTCAGTTTTTCATATGCTACCCACTCAAGACCGATTCTTCTCTTCAGTTCATGGGTCTTATTATCCCTGCCAATCATAATTTCATGTCTCAGTCATTTATATTTATCTATGACTTCTATTTCTTACCCACCATTACTGATGCTCTGGTTGGGTACCAAATTGGTCATCATTTTTGTTTTCAAGATGTTTATATTGAAACCTACATTTTCTGTATCCACAAAGAGTTCCTGTACCATCTCTCTTGCCATTCCTAAGTCCTCAGCTATTATGATTATATCATAAATAAAACGTAAATTGTTTAGAGATTTTCCATCTATTTTTATTTTCTTTGTCAGCCAAACCAAATTCTTAAAAGCATGTTCTAGAATAGCATTAAAAAGTTTAGGTGACATTAGGTCTCCTTGTCTAACCTACTGCTCTATTTTTATACGATTGATATTACTAATCGCATAGTATATGTAATTTGACATTGGTTGATACCTGTAGAAACATATTGTTTAATAATTTTGTATAGTCTAGAATGCACTCTTTAAGCGCATCTGTAGTATTTTGCTTAGCTCAACTGTGTCAAAGGCTGTATAAAAGTGGACAAATATTAGCACTAGAGGTTTATTGTATTACACAACTTTCTCTATTATGGTTTTTTATGCTTTTAGATGATCATTTTTTCCGTATTTTTTTCGGAATCCTGTCCGTCCTCTTGGTGGATGAAAAAGTCTATAATTTTTCTCAACTCAATGCGTTGGTACGATCACTAAAACAAAAAAAAAAAGGATTTGCGCAACTGCGTTTCGATATCATTTGGAAATGTTATATATTAGACCTAAATTCTTGTTAGTTAGATATTTTCACCTTATTCCTAATTCTCCTTTTTATAACTTGGTAATACGTTTAAGAACTGAGTTCAGTAACGTTGTATTTCTGAAGTTACTGGGATTTTCATTCTTTTCTTTGTGTAGAAATTTACTTTCTATTCATGTAGCAAGGACCCTATACTCATATTGCCCTTGATGTCTAGGACCTTCAACCAATACACCTTTCCTAATGCGCTAATAAAAGAGTTTCCATTTTGGTTTTTTTTTCGGTGCTGATGTCTGGCTTCAAAATAGTTTAGAATTTTGATGTAGTACTATTTTTTGAAACTTTTTAGAAATTTTATTGACTCTACTGTTGGGCGGTGGATATTTATTGGATATTTCCTCGAGAAAAAAATTGTGATATTGAACTTCAATATTAAGATATGCGCATAAAACCCAATACTAAATAGTCATATAATGCATAATAAATTTGTACAATATCTATCAATGCTTAATACATAAAATACCTTATTGAACAAAAATATTCACCTGAGTGGTTAGATTGCAAATATTGGACATCTTCATGAACACTTTCTCACATCGATCCAAGGGTTCATATATTTTATAGAGAACGTAGCATACTGGTTCGTAATATCTCATAAACAGATCTGAAAAAGAAAGAAATTTTTAATTGTAATGTTTATTAGAAACTAAAACAGTTAGTTAGTGTTTAGTTAAACAACTAAAATTATTACAATGTCTACGTATTCTTCATAATAATAATATCGGAACCATTATCGTAAACCTGTACATTCTTATAAATATCTGGCATATACAAAGCCTGAAAAGTACAAAATTCGATTACATATCAAATTATTAATAGATTTCTGTAATTCAATGGTTGGCATAAGTTCGTTTTACCGTTGAAAAACTAGCTCTGTGTTCCGTTACATTTTTCCGTTACGTCAACGGAACAGCTTGTGTTCCAATACACTCAGACATAAACTCTTTTTGTCATTCTATTAAAAGTTGACCGCGCAATTGACTGCGGCATCTTATTTCTTTTGTCTGATCAGTATCTTCTGCGATCCATGCTCCAAGGTATTTGTACGAAGATATTTGTTCAGTTTCTGTATTATCTAGTACTAGCTTAACTTTGATGTTTTGTGCTTTTGTAAATACCATGAACTTGGTTTTCTTCAAATTGATTTTTAGTCCATAATCGTTGCAATATATATTTAGTTGTTCAGCAAGGCGTTGCAGTTCTTCTAGTGTTCCTGCCAGACGGACGGTGTTGTCAGCATATCTTATGTTATTAAGTGGCTCACCGTTTATTATAAGGCCCTTACTGATCTCGGCAAGCGCTAATTCTGAGATAGCTTCACTGTATAAATTGAATAACAAGGGTGATAAAATACACCCTTGGCGGACCCCACGGCGAATCTGGATATCCTTGGTCAGTTCGTTTTCAACTTTCACTTTTGCTGTTTGATTCCAATAGAGGTTACAGATGATTCTAATGTCTCTACTGTCTATGTTTTTATTTAATAAAATTTTTTTAAGTCGATTATGCTGCACTCTGTCAAATGCCTTCTCAAAATCAATGAAACAGGCATATACTTCCTGATTAATATCTAAGCATCTCTGCGAAAGAACACTTAATGCAAACAGTGCATCTCGTGTTCCCAGTCCTTTCCTAAATCCCATTTGTGTATTGCTTATGCCTTCATCTAATTTCTTATGTATTCTATTGTGAATTACTTTTAAAAACAATTTCAAGACATGACTCATTAAGGCTATAGTGCGATGCTTATTGCACTCCTTTGCATTGGCTTTTTTGGGAAGCAGTATGAATGTTGATTGGAGCCATTCTTTAGGTATTATACCTGTTCTATATATGGTATTGAATAGATCCAAAAGAAGACCGATAGATTTAGTATTCACAATTTTAAGTAATTCGATAGGAACTTCATCAGGCCCGGGAGATTTACCACCTTTAGCTTGTTTCATTGCATATTCAATTTCTTCTCGTATAATGTCAGGCCCAGTATCATCCTTAAATTCTTTTGGTGTTTCGGTTTCTTATACTATAAAATTTAATTTATGATATACTTGATAACTCTATTTCTGATTATATTTTTTTGATACTTTGTGATATTTATGGTATCTGATACTTTAAATATATCTTGATATAGTAAATATTACCTTTTTTATTTTTATGATACTTGTACTTTTTGTTGGGATTTCAACATTTAAATATAGTGGCGCACTTTTTTTAAAGAGTTGTTCTCTTAACTGTTTCTTTTTTGTTATTGCTATTCTTTCTTATATTTCGTATCTCTATGAATGACCCCGTCTATAATCTACCAGAAGTGAGCAACGGTTCCTTCGAGCATACAGTGTATCGGCGTTCTAGCTTACTTTTTAATAATCTAGATCATATGTATGGTACAGCAGTACTGTTAGCGACATCCAGATGCATAAGAAAAGTTTTTGGCAGGTACTCTAGCATAGAATTATTTTAGACCTAAATCTAGTTTAAATTTTTTTTAAGTTTAGAAATTACATTGTGGATGGCAGCAGAAGAGAGAATGGCTCCTGGTCTCCCTCCTAAATTAAGCTTAAGCTTATAAATTTTTCCTGCATTTTCCTATAGAGCAAAACTTGGCTTAAAAATTTTTTATTTAATAAATCAATAAGTGTACTCAAAGTGCGAAAAACTAAACTTATATTATGTACATCATCCGAAGTTATCTAGTTTGTGAATTTTTTCCTTTTTTTTATTATAAAAGTAATGTAAACGATTACCTACGATTTGTTTTACAGTAAATTTAAAGCTTATTAAATAAGTGTAATAATGACAGATATTACTCTACAAATAAAATTTTTCGTATCAATTTAAAAATTAAACGCATATGAAGCGACACTTCATGAATTTTTATAAGGCTTTCAATTTTCGAACTCATGACATGTTGTGTCTTTTACATCGCACCATAATATTTTTAGACAAAGTAGATGCAAAGAGACGGCTAGCAAGGATGCTTACACATAAGTTACGTGTTTTCTTTATTTTTTAATTAGAATTTTACTTTTTTCTGGAATAATTTATTCTGAACCAGAATAATTAAAGCACAGTGACGGAGCTTTTAGATGTAAGTGAAAATTTTTACATGTAATAAAAATAAAAGAACCTCTTTCTTCAGGAGCCTTATTCGCTGCGGACTTTATCTATTAACATGGCAAATCTAATCCTGCTTACGAATATTTACTTCTGAATAGTTCGACCGATTTGAGCTCAAACCATCTCCCTAGACTTTGGAGCTGTGAGTGTCTTCTCCTCCCTGGTCCTCACCTTCTGTCTATTTTCCCCTGGATAATCAATTGAAGTATGCAATACTAATCGTGTCTTCTAAGTGGCCAAAGTGTTCAAGTTTTCTTTTTAATAAAATTGTGCTCATGATTTTTTTCCTTTGCCAATTCGATCTCTATATATAGTACATAGGTATACAAGTACAAGTACACAGGTATCGGTACACCCACATTTAGAATGCTTCTAATTTGTTCATAAGCGACTGCGTCTAGACCTCAAGAAAATTTAGCGTTCAACTAGTTGTAGTTATAGAGGAGAAAGTACAAATCCCTGCGTATAGGGATCTTGTTCGTGTTGTTGAATGCTACTCTAGCGAGTTCTATTCTCACTTTAATTTTTGTGGTCTGCTCCCCTTTTGCATTTACGTTAGTATTAAGGTGTAGGTAAGATTCTACATGGTCAAAAGGTATGATTTTACTTGGTCAACATGTTGTTTATCCATAACTGTCCAGCAGGTTGTCGATTTTTTCTTATGAGCTTAAATTTTGTTTTCTTGAAGTTAAGGCCATAGTCCTCAATGCCTGCATTAATCCTTGCCATTACCTGTTGTAATTCATACATATTACTGGGAAGGATCACCGTGTCATCTGTATATCTTATGTTTTTCGTTAATTTACCGTTAATATTTATGCCCTTTGTTAATATTATAGACATTTTTTAAATATTTCGTCATAGTACAAATTAAAGAGGACTGGGGATAAGATACACCCCTGTCAGACACCTCTTTTCTTCATTCCCTATTTTTACTCTTGCTGTTTTACGTCAGTAAAGGTTTACCATAATACGAATCTCCTTTTCGTCAATACCTGTATTACAAAATATTAAAGGAGCGACTTTATAGTTTGCAAAAGTTTATGGGTCGAAAAAATTTTAATCATCGAATAGAATATTATATACCATTTGGACGGATTTTTTTACTAAGATTATGGACGAATTCTGAAAATTGTTCTAGCTATTACTATTTATAAGAAAATATGTTCTTTATTTAGTTTTCTTGAAACCTAAACGTTTCGTACTTTGCCCCAACATAACTCTTAATACTGAATCTGAATCTGTAATTAGTATTAACTGCACTACTCTGGTCTATAATAGATAAGAACGGTAATCTCCAGGCATTCATTCAATACCAGGTGAAATACTACAGTTTCTCATAATTTTGTCCTGTAGCTTTACCCCACCGTTTTAATTAATACAGCAACTTTCCTACATTATTTGTCCAATCACGATTAAAAAAGAAAGGAGGCTTATGGAATGACTTGTAATATTGAAAACATTATAAATACACTCAATATAAGATATCGTTATTGAACCTGCCAGTAAGTAGTTCATGCATCACACTGTTGTTATTATTAGAGAGACAATAACAGCGTTGATAAAAGTTACCAGGAAATCCCTATCATATCTTGCTTCAGCCCGTGGAGCTGTTTGTTTCAAGCGGAATCCTAGACAGTATATTTATTAATGGAGTTGCATAATTATTAAAGTCAAAGTTCAAAGATGTGGTTGCTTTCTCTTTTTTAACAGTTGTTGTTTATATTCTTTTTTTAGATATACAATAAGTTGTGTTTGGATTCTTTTTTGATAAAACGTTATCATAAGTGACTCACTGCATATATGCGTTAAATTAATATATATCTAAGGAAAAATATAGGTAATCAGCTAAGAACTAATTAATTCTATAACTTGTTTGTATACTACCGTCCTTTTTGAAGAGCTGAATAACATTTGAATGATTGAATTATTTTCTCTTTAATTACTCTTCTATAACTTAGCTGAATTGAATCAAATTAAAATAATGATATGGATATTGACTTTTATCTAATTATCTGTATTATTTAGTTTTAGTTTATCATTGGTAATTGATACTTGACATAAAATTGATAACTCACTTAATTTGAGGTTAATTATAATAGTCCAATTGTTATATTATTTTATACTTCGTACTTTTCTTTTTTGTGGCCTTTTGGTTTTCGTGTGGTGAAATTAATATCATTTTATAAATAATATAATTGAAAATGGGCTATTCCAAAAACTAACCAAACTACTGCTAAACCAAAAACTGCATTTAAATAAAAATTGTCCATATTTTTGAGTTGCCTTACTGAGACAACTTCATTTAAGGATAGCTCATTTATTACTTAAAGCCACTATAACGTTCAACTTTATTCTTTATTGGTTTCACCCAATCTATCATATCCAATCGTGACCATACAACTGCTTTGCTAGCAGTTCCATTGTGAATTACGGAGACATCTAAAAATAAAGACTAAAAGAATATAGGCCCATGGATTGGAATTT